CTCCTCGTCCTCCTATCCTCCTCCTCGATCTTCGATCTTCTTGAGGCTCGCTCCCCCTCGATCCTCGACGCGGTCGAGCGGGGAGTCGGCCCTCCTCGGTCCTCGTCGTCGTCCCTCCTCCTCCTCCTCCTCCTCCTCCTCCTCCTCCTCCTCCTCCTCCTCCTCCTCCTCCTCTTTCCGCTCCTTCTCCTCCTTCTCCTCCTTCTATTCCTCCTCCTCCCTTCCTCCCTCCCTCTCTCCCTCCCTCGCAAAATGTTCCCCGCCGTCAGATGATGCACTACGCTGCCTCGCTCCCTCTGCTCTGCTGCCACCGCTGCATCGGCTCGCCAACCGGCGGGCCCGCCGCCATCGCTCGGCGCCCGCGGCCCAGCCCAGCGCGCGCAGGGCCTGGCCGCCAAGCCCCGCCAGGCACGTCTGCGCCGTGTGCCGGACTCCCGGACGACCTCCGCCTCGAAGTCAGCGCGGAGTCGGCGCATTCAGAGCGACGACGCACGGCAGAGTCCCCGACGGACCCGGCCGAACTCGCAGCTCTTGCGTTTGAGGGCCATGACGGACTTCAGCGCGCTCACGCCAAGACGCCCGCCCTGCTCGATGGCAAATGGCAGGATACTTGCGCCGTAGTGGCGTTTCTTGTGGCGCTCCCCAGCCCGAGCTGCAGCGCCAGGCGTCCTGTGCGAGCAGCCCGTCAGCTCGGCAGCGAATGGGGACCACACGGTGACGTCGAAGAGGAAGCGCTGGCTCCCTCCGGCCACCACACGAGCAGGTCCATGAACCGCTCGTGGATGGCGCCCTGCTCGTCGACCGAAAAGAGCGCTGGGACGGCCGCCTCAAGCTCGGCGACAGCCCCCGTGCAGCGCAGATGCTTGGTGAGCACAGCCGCGGCCGCCGTGGCAGCAAAGCCACCCAGAACCCAGGCGGCAGACAGAGAGGTGATGTACGTAAGTGGAGGTCCAGCGAATCTCCGCACGGAGCATCGTCTCCCTTGTCCTGCAGCGCGCAGGTCAGGCCAGCCTGCGGCGCGCGCAGCACCCCCCGGCGCCTCCGCGTGGCTGGCGCCCACTGGGACCTCGCCATGCGCAGAGCAGGGCGGTCCGGGGCGGTGGACCACAAGATGCCGCTTCCAGGACCCCTCCTTCAAAAAAAACGCTTGCCGATGCTCCTCCATGGCCCCGTGCAGGTCCGTGACTGCCAGCGCATCCAAGCCTCGGAGGAGCCGCCCGTACCGGTGGCCGCGGTGCCTGGGGGCCTGCCCGGCGTCGAAGCTCGCGGCAATGGTCGCAGCAGTTGGGAACTTGAACACCTCGTTGGTCACCGTGCCACGGTGCCACGGCCCCGCTTCGTACTCCCGCCTCGCGGCGATTGTAAAAGCCAGGACGCCGTCGCGGACTTCCACGCCCGCTGCCCGGAGCACCCCCGCCGCGCACCGCGCAGCTTCCTCGGCGGCGAGGCCGCGGAGGGCCCGACCCGAGCGGGCAGACGTGAGAGCTGGCTGCAGCACGTGCGTGCGCAGCGTGCGTGACCAAGAGCGTTGCTGCTGCCCGCGCCCGGATGGGCAGGCCGAGCGTCAGGCCGACCAGCGCGCTGGGGCAATTGCGCCTGTGCACGCGCCGCGTCATCCAGCGGCCCTGTGAGCATCATCTCCAGAGTGCTGTGGCATTCGGCGGCTGGCCTCCCCCATCCCTCCCTCCTTCCCTCCCCCTCCTCGCTCGCCCCGCGCGCGCCCGCTCCGAGCGCGCCTCGGCGCACCCCGACTCCCGCAGCGTGGCCTCCGCTGTGGTGGAGAGGTTGGCCAACAGCAGGATCGTGCTGCCGAGCAGCCTGACCGCGCCAGGGACTGGGGAGGGGAGAGGAGAAGGGGAGAGCATCTTCTTTATTCGCGGCAGGCGATAAGAGGCTTGATGGCGGGGGAGAGGGAAGGGAGGGCTGGGGGGGGGGCCGGGGGGGGGGCATGACGTAACGACTGTCCCCCGCCCCGGCACCACAGATTGCGGATTGCGGTGCTGGACGCACTTCGACAGTGCCGGGGACGCACGGGGAGTGGGAGGGAGAGCGTTACGCTATGGACAGCGCGCGACATAGACCAGAGGGTTCTGAAAAGTTGTATAAAGAAACTCTCGGGGAAGAAGGAGCTCCTAGGTAAGAGGAGGGGAGGAGGAGGAGGAGGAGGAGGAGGAAGAGGAGAAGGAGAAGGAGAACGAAGAAGAAGAGAAAAATGAGGAGGAGGAGGAGGCGTCGAAGGAGGAGGAGGAGGAGGAGGAAGAGGAGGAGAACGTGGAGGAGGAGGAGGAGGAAGCGGAGGAGGAGGAGGAGGAGGAGACGTAGGAGGAGCCGGAGGAGGAGGGAGAGGAGGACGCAGAGGGGAGGAGGAGGAAGAAGAGGAGGAGGGGAGGACGAGGGGAGAAGGAGGAGAAGGAAGGAGGAGGAGGAGGAGAGGAGCAGAAGGCGATAGAAGGAGAAGGGGAAGGAGAAGGAGAAGGAGAAGGAGAATGAAAATGAGAAT